CCCTTAGTGAGGGCGACGTGCTCCGCGTCCACCCTCATCTCCTTCTCTTCTCGGCTCTCGCCGAAGACAAGGTGCCGCTGCTTGATCCTTTCGTAAACGGCTTGGGGATTCTCAGTAACTTCCCCGGTCTTGGAGGCAGCCTTGTACACGTTAGTAAAGGTCTTAAGCCTCGAGCCGCGGCAGCGAGCACGAAGGGCGATGAGTTTCTCCCGGAAATTCATCCAGTTGTCTCCTCGGTAGAACTTCATGTTCCTTCAAGCGAGAACTTCCTCGAACTCTTCGTACTGGACCACGTCCCGGATGTCGGAGCGATCGTCGGTGAGCGAGGGCCATTGGAGGTCCGTCTTCACGGTCGTGATCGACGTCTGACCTCCGCGAGACGCCAAGGCCTCCTTGAGCGCCTCGGTCTGGGCCGCCAAAGCTGCAGCGAGCTCTCCGGCTCCGCCGCTGGCGGAGTGAGGCTCGCCGGGCTTATCCTTCTTAAGCCCTTCGAGCTCTATCTCCAGAGCCGCAAGGCGGGACTTCAGGGGTGAGTCCCCCGGACCAGGTTGCGGATCCTCAGGGATCGCGAGCTGAAGGTCCACCGGGAGAGGCGCCGGTGCTCCGGACTTAGAGCCCGACTCCGCAACGGCGCCCGTCCGGGCCGCCAGGGCCGGGACAGAAGAAGGAGTGCTCCAAACCTTCTCGGGATCGCCGCTGCTCTTGCCTCCCAGGGCCAAGATCAGCTCGCCGAGGCACGAGATCTCCTTCTCGACCTCCTCTCGGTCTTCCGACCCAAGAGAAACCGCGGCAACGGTAAACCTGGTGCGCAGGGCCCGCACCATCCTGGCAGGGTGCCAGTCACCTCCCATTTTGCCGTATTCCTCGGCAAGGATGGTGGCCTTGGTAGTGATCTTCTCAAGATCCTCCACCGTGACCTCTGCCTGGTGCGCCTTCAAGGCCACAACCAGCCTTGAAACCCGCGTCAGGTAATCCGCGACCGGTTCCTGGTCGGGACGGTAGAGCTCCCGCAGGTCCGCCTGCAGGGTCTCCGCCGTGACGGGACCACCCGTCCCAGCAGACGAGGGAGGCCCGGAACGGGCCGGGCCGCCGGCCACCGGCGAGAGAGCAAGCGCACCAACACGGCGCGCCGTCTCGGCCACGTCCGCCGGCGCAGCGGCAGGACGCGGAGCCGGTACCCCGGCCTCCGGCAGAAGCTCTTCAGAGCTGGGGCCCGGATCGCCATCCTGAGCACCCGGGCCCGCTTCCGCAGCTGGAGCTTCCTCATCTTCCTCTTCATCTTCTTCCTCTTCCTCTTCGGCATCGAAGTTGTCGTAGAGGAATTCCATCGTCTCCTTCCACAGACGCTGTTCATCTGCTAGCGTCGTGGATCGTCCGTCCTTCTTCTTGGTGGGACGGGACCCCGTTTCCTTACGCCAACGGAGCCAGTACATAAAGGGCATCTTCTCCGGGTACTCCACTGACCCATCCTCGATGCACCTCAGCAACGTGGCTCCTTCCGGCTGACCTGCGACCTCAGCGCTCATGGTCGCCTAGCGAAGGAGAGAGCCCCGTGCCACACAGGACCACGGCCTCAAGGCGCACGACAAGCGCGCCTTCGAGGCCACGTTAAAAGATTGCGGCGCAGCAGCCGCCTGGGTGGCCGTTTCCCAGAACAGCCCCCAATTGTGGAGAACGGAAACCCAAAGGGGCAGCACGCACCCTCGTTTTCCGTCCAAGCAGAAAGTCCAACGACCGTGACAGGTCGAACGTCCGCCCAGGACGGGCTGCGCGCAATTGCGTCGCGGCAACGAGAAGCTACCAACGACACACTGCCGTGCTCACTTGAGCCAAAAATGTTATGAATACGAATTACAGAAGAGCATGCATAAAAGCATACAGCACAACAGCCAGCCCGCAGACTATGTACAGTTACAAGTAGTAGTAGTAGTAGTAGTAGTAGTACAGTATAGTAGTAGTAGTAGTAGTAAGTAGTAGTAGTAGTAGTAGTAGTAGTAGTAGTGGTAGTGGTAGTGGTAGTGGTAGTGGTAGTGGTAGTAGTAGTAGTAGTAGTAGTAGTAGTGGTAGTAGTAGTAGTAGTAGTAGTAGTAGTAGTAGTAGTAGTAGTAGTAGTAGTAGTAGTAGTAGTAGTAGTAGTAGTAGTAGTAATAGTAGTAGTATCGTAGTCGTAGTCGTAGTAGTATAGTATACGAGTAGTACAATAGTATATAGTAGTAGTACAGTCGTATAGTAGTAGTATTAGTAGTAGTAGTAGTAGTAGTAGTAGTAGTAGTAGTAGTAGTAGTAGTAGTAGTAGTAGTAGTATAGTATATCGTATAGTAGCAAAAAGGAGAGTAGTGTAGCAATGGTATATATAATGTATTGTACAGTTATTTAGTACTACAATACTTAAATTTTGCATATCATATATAGCCCTCTTAGACCACACTAGCATGCGGGACACCGGCCAGTCCCTTTCACTTGGAGCCCGCCACGGTTCCATCTCAGCACGGCCAAGCAGGGAGTCCTGCATGCGGCCGGCAAATGTTCGGTGAGTTTGTTGACAGCAGACGAAGCACGACCCAGGATGCACAGCCCAGTCCAGCCTCCGAGGCAGCATCACGAGGCCGCTTGGATATTGCATCCTGTCAATATTCGAGAGATTCATCCTTATGCAGGGTAGCTCTCTTAGCAGTGCACAGGACACTTCGGGCGGACCAGCAGCACAAGTGCTGAAACCCAAAGTTTATCGATTGATAAACCCTGTGGTTTTGGAAACACCAGGATTTATAGATTCACAAACTCTGGGACCCACAAGAATGAGAATCTATAAAACCTGCGGTTCCCGGATCAGCAGGGTTTATCGATTGATAAACTCTGGTGTTTTTAGAACACCAGAGTTTATCAATTGATAAACCTTGCTGTTTTCTAGATACCAACCATTGGAAGCAGCACCCACCTTGCTTGACCAGGATCGGCTCATCGCATGGGCCGCCTGGGTGCATAAAGGCATGGAGGGTTCGCTGCAAAGGACGGCCGCCGAGCCGCCGACCCTGCTCACCCACGTCGATGCCTCTTGCGGTAGGTCCATTCCTGGTCCCACCACGAGTCCTGCAAAAGGCACACAGAAGCCGAACACCACAATGACCATGGCACATCCTCCTCCGCCGGCGGTGCCCTGGAAGAGCTGGAGCCCGAGCCCTGCACGTCGGGGCCCAATGCAAAAAGAAAGGGTGCCAAGGCTGCCTGTGCATGGCCTGAGACAACTGGCCCTGGCCGGGTGCCCACATCCGCTCCTGCATGTCGGAGCACAGAGGCAACTGAAACAAAGGACGACTGCACTTGCAATGCCTGTCCTGAACTCGCAGCTGGTCCCGCTGCAGGGCGATGTGGTCGCTCATGACACCAGCCATCTTGTTCGCCGTCTCCATGGCTTGCGAAGCGATCCTAGCAGCACCGCCACCCCTAGTCCGGGCACGGGTGCGACCGCATCCTGGAGGGAACAGCTGCCCGTCTTCCGTGAGGAAGCCGGCCACCTGCACCCCCTGAGGCTTCGCAGCACCTGACAGGACTGCCATGGTGTTGCCGTGTGAACCAAGCATGATGACACGACTGCCTCCATAAGCCCACGGTGCTTTGAAGCTGCTGGGCACATGCACGAAGCCACCCTGCAGCACACATCACTGATGTCACTGTGCATGTGCTGCCGGCGAGCCAACAGGCCCTGCCAGGCGACCATGCCACAGGCATCAAACCCTATATAGCCTTGGTCGGCACCTTCACGAGGGCCGTCTCCTTTTCCGGAAGAGCACAACAAAAAAAACAGACGATGCAACCCACTGTCCTTGCCTGCTTGGCCAGCTCCAGCTTCTTCCCGGGTCGGGCCTGCAAAAGCGCCATGTGGCTTGCATCATGTGGAGTTGCAACACACGAAACCCAAACCCCAAACCCGAAACCCTAAACCCTTGGCCTTCTGCTTCGGCTTAACCACAGCCAGCTGTGTGCCCTGGGTTCGAACACGGCAGGATCCACGAAACTGCCGACACATGCCGCACCCAATCGCCTCGTGGCCGGGATCATCATCATCATCATCAGCCAAGTCCTGCATGTGCTCCATTCTTTTCAGGTCTCACAAGAATGGCATCCACAGGCCTTGGGGCTGTGGAGCACAGGTTCCTCCTCAGTTCGAAAGGAGCAGAGCAACCCAACCCAGAGCCCATCAAGACGGTGCATGGGCCTCCTCGATGCACACTTCCTCTTGTTCGTCCTCAGGAAGACATGCACGAAACCGCCTGTGCTCCCAAGACCCGTGTGAACCCAACCTCCTCTTCGAAGAGGGGCTCCTCCGGTAGGTCCTGATCGAAGGGTGTTAAGGTGGGTTGAGGGTTTTAAGGTTTGGTGTATGGTTGGGGTTTTTAGGCCTTGGGCTTAAAATATACAAGAACCCTTGGTGTCTATATGTGTACATAAGGATGTGATAGAAAAAAAGCTATACCTATATTGCCTATATACCTATATATATATATATATATGTATCTACATATACACTTACTTATAATTGCATTTATACAGAAATATCTATACATGTATATATATATATATATATGTATATATGTATATATGAGAACCAATATATACGGAGGCTAGATATTCGCAATCTCAGCATGAACATTGCCACAGCTTTGCAAGTGCTGAAGCTCCTGCTCAGCCTCCATGCCGCATTCCTCGGCCGCCTCCTCCACGATCATGGGATCCTGCAAAGGTCTCGGCATGATGGCTGCATGCAGGGCCGATGTGCTCGCAGGCAAGCCATCATGCACCGGAATGGAACAAAGCAAGCCAATGCCTCCTGATGCTCTGGGCCCTGTTCTTCCTGCATGCACACGACAGTCTTACAGGCCCAAAACAAATCGGAATGCAAGAAAACAAGCCAAAGCCTCGGGATCGTCGTGCTCTCGGGTTTCTTCTTCCTGCATGCACACGAAAGTCTTTTATGCCCACAGCAAACCCGGAAAAGGCACTGCCTCCACTGCAGCTGGCACCGGCATGTGGGGCTCGTGCCGAGAGTCCTTCGGAATTATATGAGTTTAGGGAAACACACTTAAAGCACAACATGCTGGGCAAAGCCTTGTCGACATCCACCAACCACAGCTTGCTCTGGTGGTATCGCCCATTGTGCCAGAACTGCCAGCCCTTCTCCGGCGGCTCCGGCAACTCGTGGTTCTCGTGGAACCAAAGGCTTTGCTGGCCATCCCGGGTGTCGATGTGCCAACCTGACCAAACACCGGTTCCCAGCCATCGCAGCTTCGTGCCGGACTCCGTGACCCAGCGGTGCTTCCGGCGATTGGGTCCTGCCGAAAAACAAAGGAAAGACTTGTAAGGATTGAAGACAGCCAGCCTTTCATTGGGTAGAAGACATCTTCCACCGTCACGAGGTCCATCATGAGCCTCTGCTCGGCATCCTGGGAAGTTGCAGGTTTGCCCGAGTCTATAGAACCACAACTTTTGAGACCAAACTGGGTCCACGGCGGAAGGGGTTCCGGAACACATCATCGTGAACCCCGGCATGGCCCCGGACTAAGCAAAGCTAAAAGCCCCGCCCCCAACAGCCAAAGGCCTCGAATCATGATGCATTCCGCCATGTTCCATGCTGAGCAGCTTCCAGAATGCTTGCATGCGACAAACAAATTGCAACCTTCTCTCTTCTGTCTGCATCATGGGAATGCATGCATGTGATAAACAAATGGACACTTTCTTTCTCACTTCTGTCTGCATCGTGGGAATGCATGCATGCCACAAACAAATGGACACTTTCTCACTTCTGTCTGCATGTGGCTGATCGAGAGAACACGATGTGCTATAGCAAACCCGGCCGAATCTCATTAGTTCTCGGAGCTGCTTTCCTCGTTCTTCTCATCGTTGTCATCATCCGACTTCTCCTGCGACTTCTCCTGATCATTGCCCGATCGGCGACTGGTTCGCCTTTTCTTGCGGGGTTTCTGCTCACTGCTGTCGACACTATTCTTCAGCCATTTCAGGTTCTCTTCGGAGAATTCGATCCACACCGATTTTGTTCCGATTCCGTCGAACAGCACCTGGAACTCGTGCCCCTGGACCGAGATGGTGAATTTCAGCGGCAACACCAGTGCATGTTTCGAAGAGGCTTTGAAAACTTGCGGCTTCTTGGACTTCTTCTTGTTCTCCGTCGCAGCATCCTCCTCCGTGTTCAATGCCTCCTGCAACAACTGGTTTGCCTTGTCCTGCCTCGCACGGATCATTTCGTCCCAGATGTCAATGTTCAACGATCCACTGGCTTTGCCTGGCCGCAAGTCTAAGGATTTCCCTGTCAGTGTTTTGACAAGGGCACGATCCCACTTCTTGAGATGCATGTAGGTCTCACCGTCGACAGATTTCTGCTCGGGGATGCAATGGTTGCCATTCACATACAGCACCATCTTCTGCTCGACAGTCAAGTTCATGGCAGGCAGATTCCAGCTATGTGTTGGTTCCTATATATATTAGAAATGCTCAGCCAGAAGATCCTGCAATCGAAACAACATGCACTCAGCTGCCTGCGAGCTAAAGAAGCCCTGCAGGCGCTGAAGAGCAAGCACGAGGCACAGCACAATTGCAACAACTTAAACTCCTGCCTTTGGAGGTGCTCAAAAGAATGCAATCACACTTTTGAAGAAGCCTCGGTCCGTCCCTGCCTGCCAATGTTGCTCGTGTGAAAGGAAGACTCAATCCCGATGCATGTTCAGAACATGACAGCCAATGCTCACTTCTTGGTGGTTTTGGCTTTCTTGGCTTTCGGGGCATGCTCCTCCTCGTCAGCCTGCTTCACCTTCAGGATATGCAGGGCAGTCCCCGTGCCAATCTCCTTGCTGTTCTTCAACATTGGGATGCGAACCGACGATTGTACGGTCCCGGACATGACCTGAACCATGTTGGCGGAATCTTCGTCTTCGCAAGATCCGACCAAGAAGTACGGCGAGATGAAGTGTTTGCCGACTTCTGGATTGCTATCCTTCGGCAAGGAGTTGCAGCTCTGCAACCAAAACTCACGATCGTCGAGCTTCCACTTGGTTTGCACCTGGACCGCATTCGCCATGGGCTCGGGCTTCGGGCTCCTCGTGCAAACCTTCCAGCTGTATGGCACCAAGATGAGCTTGCCTTTCCCGAAGACCTGCTGGCTCACCAAAGCTCTGCATGGCTTCAGCTGCAGAGACAAGCCCTCGAGAATTTTCTGCGAATCGTGGGTCTTGACCAACTCATGCATTGCCTGATGAATCTCAGCGATCACCAAGCCGGCCAAGAAATCGTTGTTCTTCTTGGGCCCCATGGACTGCAAAGCAGCAATGGACTCGGGCTCCGCTTTCGGCTTGAAAACCATCCAGCCCGAATTCAGCAAATCTCTCGCCGGCACCTTCAAGACTCCACCGGACTTCAGATCTTTGACGGTGACATTGCTGTCGTCCATGGCGCCGATTTGGCCTTCGAACTTCTCGCCCTTCTTCTTGATGCAGGCACCAACGATGAAGCCCTCAGCACTGAGGAGCTCAATCGGATTCTTGAGGCTGCCGTCTGGATTCAGCTCCCGGAGTCTTTCCTGGACCCCCTGGGACCCCGATGACTCCTGCTGCAGCCCTGCATCCATCACTTCCGCATCGCCCGCCCAAGGCGACACCAGAGCTGTCCCAAGCAGGCCATTCGCCACCGTGATGCAATCATGGGCCACTGCTTCCACGGCCTTGTACTTCTTGTCGTCCTCAGGGCTCAGGCCCAAGACGAGCTTCGCCATCGTGCAATCCGTGACCCCCAAGAGATTCACTAGCCGAGTGTCGCTCATCAACTGCACACCGGCTCCGGTGAGCATGCTGCGAATCTTGGACATTGCCTCGTCGGCTTTGATGGCCTTGGGAAGGGCATCTTTGGCCAATGCCTTCTTGACAGATGTGGCAGTCACCAGATTGGTGCTCAGTGCAAGCTTCACCAAAGCATGCCTGAAGAAGGTCACTTGGTCGCCCTTCTTCAAGTCCGCCGACACATTCTCCCAGAAGGAAGGTCCCATGCCCTTGCTCTGGCCGTGACTGCGAAGAAACATCTCAGTCTCGGCGAGAAAGAATGCATCCGCACCGCCACAATGCCTGCATCTCTATATACTTTGCATGCAGGCACTCTCCAAAACCTCTTCAACACAGACACTAGATATAATAAGAAATCTACAATCAAAGTGCCAAGCAAGAAACCTGAGTGCGAACTGATACAGCCCTGGGAGGCACTCTGCACACGGAGGCTTCGAGTGCAGGGCTTGTCTCTTGACCGTCTGATAGTCGGGCACACCGGTCTGTCGCCCCACGATGGTACAAATCCGCCGCAACAACTGAAGTTCTGATTCCGTTTTTTGTAAAGTTGCATTGCATGAGGACTGAACCAGCTGCAACAAGTCTGGCCACTTCTGGCCCACTTCAGCTGCGATGACCGTCCACTCCAGGCCTTGGAGTACATACTCAGCGAGCACCGGGTCTCGCTTCTGCACGAGCTCTAGGGAGAGACTGCCCTGAACCGAGATTACCTCCGATTTGTGGGGTGCTCCATCAGCAACCAACCGAAGTGCAAAATTCGTGTGTGAACTGCTGAGGGAGAGCACTTTCAGCTCTCCAAGTTCAAGCCGGCCGAGCTGACCGCCTGCAGACTCAACCAGCTGCTTGTTGAAGACCTGCTCAGCCTCGCTGGAAGCTTCAATGGCAATGGGATTCGTCCGAGTCGGTTCGAAGCCGACAGCGGAGATATTGTCCAACAACTCATGTACGTCTTGAACTACCAGACATGACCCATCACGATTGGCTGGGTGCACTCCCACAGCCTTGGGTGGGATTCGCATCCGCTGAAGCAGGGAGTGTCGTTTGAGCACGGCAAAGATCTGCTGGACATTGCGAACCAGAAAGTCCCCCTTCCGACTGCTCTCCTCCACCAGGCGACTGATCTCCGCCACAGCCTCCGGTGTCAAAGGCATCGCGAGCGATTCTGATCGCAGGCGAAAGTAGATTCCTTGCTAAACCGCTTGAACCAACAGCTCTGCACATGCTGGCGGCTCAACATGATCGCTGCAAAACACATGCCCCTGCAAGCAGCCCGGCTGCCTGCGAGCAATACTGCCCTGCATGGCGCCGAGCCTGCTTGCCACAGCAAATTCAGCAATAATTGCATGACCAATCCTGTAGATCCGTCCATTTCCGCCAACAACAATCGAAAATATCCCTGCTGCAGAAGCACAGAATGCATGCATTGAGCTTGCAAAACAAATACAGTTGTCTGAGTTCTGTCATACACTAAGTTGAACATACAGGACTTACTCGATATACTTAAATGAACTTATAACTTCGGTGCCTGAGATGCTTAAGTCCAGTAACATAGATATAACTAGATATAGTTAAGTCGGCTATGTGTTCCAAGTACTTGGCTCGATTATTATGTAAATACTATTTGAACAGCCTCACATAATAAGTCCTATAATTGTTTAGCACGAATATATGTTCCATATGTCTAGACATAGGCATGTTATAAGTACAGACTTATGCCAAGTATATATTCCTTTCAACTGCTCTATCTGTTTATAAACGCCCCGCCCTCTCAAGTATGGGCACTCTGCCTTCTAACCCCAAACCCTAAATAATAAAGACCCTGAAACTCTAACCCTAACCCTTCCATTACCCTCAAACCCCTAATACTATGGCACTCTGCCTTCTAACCCCAAACCCTAAATATACTAAAGACCCTGAAACTCTAACCCTAACCCTTTCATTACCCTCAAACCCCTAATACTATGGCACTCTGCCTTCTAACCCCAAACCCTAAATATATAAAGACCCTGAAACTCTAACCCTAACCCTTTCATTACCCTCAAACCCCTAATGCTATGGCACTCTGCCTTCTAACCCCAAACCCTAAAAAATAAAGACCTGAAACTCTAACCAAACCTTTATTACCCTCAAACCCTAATACTATGGCCTCGCTTCTAACCCCAAACCCTAAAGACATGAAACTGTAAACCTGTGCCAGGTCTTCTTCATCCTCGTCTTCTCGGAAAAAACATTAAAAAATGTAGTTTTTTTTTGTGTGTGTTTTAAAGTTTTTAAAAATTTTTAAAAGTTGTTTAAAGTCTTTAAAAGTCTTTCAAATTATTTTTAAAGTTTGTAAAAGCTTTTAAAAGCGTTTAAAAGTCTTTGAAAGTCTTTTTAAAGCTTTTAAATGTATTTTAATGTTTTTAAAAGTCTTTTAAATATTTTAAAAGCCTTTTAAAGTTTTGAAAAGTCTTTTAAAGTTTGCAAAAGTCTTCTAAAAGTTTCTAAAAGTCTTTTAAAGTCTTCTAAAAGTTTTTAGAATGTTTTTTCTTGCATTTGAAAGTTTTTAAAAGTCTGTAAACGTCTTTAGAAGCCAACTCTGTCGAAAAAGCCCTGTGGATCTAAACCTTGTGGTTCTGGTTCGGTGCAAAGGGTCAATGAGAGAAGCAGGAGAGGCTGGCGCTCTGCATCAGATTCCTTGCTCTCTTGAGGAGGTTCGGGGCTCCCAGCTTGGGTGAGTTTTCGAGTGATGTGGAGCCGGCACGTGCAGCCTCTGTTGTTGCTGGTCGCATTCGAAA